GGAGTCGAACTTTGTGCACAAATGTTGATCATGACAGGCTACAATCCACGTTCTGGCGTGACAAAAGTACCACGAACGCCGAGGAAAGTTTTCGTGAAAATTTCGCCTCGTGGGTGGGGGGAGTCTATGAAAGACCACGGGAGACACACTGTACGTGAAATAGCAAAAAAACACGTAAACCGAGTGCATTTTAACCACAGGGGTTCAATAGAGACCGTGTCAGGCGGTTCATTTCGAAGTAACCAGCGACATGAAAGGAAAACGTAACACACACGCGAGAGCAATATCAGGCAAACTAACCGTCTGTGGTGTGCTGACTACTGCACACTCGAGTTTCCACGTACAACATCTCGTGTCGTTGTTTGGATTGAGAAAACGAGCTTAGCGCAGACGTGCCCAGCAGTGCACCAGTCCCAATCGAGCTCTGCGATCCGCTGCTGCCCATACTACTCCCGGACCCGGCAGACACCATCGGTCCAGGTCCGGTACCCGGAAGACAAGAGGTCTCACGCAGATATGCGCATGTATCGATCTGATGCATGTCCATCTGGAATCGATTAACAGGAGTGATATACCAGCGATGAGGATAGAGAAGGGAGCATGTGAACGATAGAACAATCTATAAGGTGGGCAGCTGTACATTAAAACAAGGAAAAGAAGTGAGGTGATGGAAACGATTCACGCGACAATATATTTCCCCGAAATCGTACTCATCACGAGAAACACTTCATATTGCATCGGCTTTTGTATAACGAGAGATAATCAATTGTTAGTTGCAGGTGGAGATAGCGCAGTGGTTTAGTCGCTATCACTAATGTGCTTTGCACCATGAGGTTCGAACCGCGCCAGCGCTATCCAACTTTCTTGGTAGGTAGCTTAGTTGACGTCCCGTCCAATACCACACCTAATCCAGAGGGGCTTTATGTGGTCCGTCACACCAAATCCATTGGATAGCAAGTCAAATCAACTATAACATTTACCCCGTCTGCTGTTCATCATACAAATGTGTAGGGAAAAAGGAGAGACTAAAGAACTGCGGTTTTTGGCTAAAGCTTGATGGACCTTTGATTTATTCTTTTTTCAGCCTTCGGCCACGACTGCGCAAGTTCATACAAAGGCACATTCCAGCAACCAAAGTGTACATTCATCCAGCCAGAAGAGATCCTTCGTAGCCAAACCATCGTCGGTGGGATACAACTGAGAGTAAGCCTTGTCAGTAGCAAAGATCCGGACCCCAAATGAAGCGTTCTGGATAACGGAGACAGTGCGTCTGGGTTTCCGCATACGTGCATAGTCAGTAGCGGGAGCGAATTTGAACGCTGCTACTGCGGCAGCATGGCTTCGCTAATTCGGTCTCTAGCATCCTGGCTAGAACGCCTTAAATAAAGGCTGAAAACCCATGAACTGTGGAAAAGCCATAAACAAAGGCTGCATAAGCATGGGAAACACAGTAGACTTGTGTGTGGAAAGGGGATAGATAGATAGATGAGCACCACTAAGCCACATTACATGTTGATCAGACTGACAGCGAGACCCACATAGGGAACACGGATTGACAAGGGCGGTGGCGCATAACTATCTGCAGTACGAGCCTCATAGGTACGTATTAGAAATGGGTATAAACATCGAGCTATTGACGACACATGAAGAACAACATAATAATGCTAATACTAATATTGATCTATATCAGCATATAAAAAGGTTCCGTTGTTTTCGAGGTTATCATACAGAACGGGTTTGGGGTTGAATTGACCAAGCAACAACAAATCACACCATATAAGCGGCCCAGAGTTGATCACTGAGAACTGATGATTATTCCACATACTTTATCGACTAATTTCGATTCCTCTCTCTCTCTCCCTCGCTATGTATCTTAAGAGTGATTCCAATCACCAGTGATATCCATTCACCAATACGCAAACCAAGAGAGCGCACATAAACGAAACAATTTGCATACGATGNCTAGTTGAAATTCTCGGTCTTGGCAACTGTGTTCCCCACCTGTTCCACCTATGTTTTATCCACCCAACCCCTTCAGCTTCACTTAGAGGATGTGTATGTGTGTGCAAAAAAAAAACAAAATTCGACACGTTGATTTTGGGCAACAAAACCGATTTGCGGAACATCCATCGATTGAGGTACCGGAAAAATGACGTAACATTACGTTTACCTTGTGGATGAGCAGTTGGTAACAGCCGTCAGCCAAAAGGACCGGGATCGCTGTGCTCGGTTGAAGACGAAGAAATGCAACACCCAGCAGCTTGTCTTTCGACGCTGTGATTTGGACAAAAAAGAACGAAATGTAAAACGCATACTGCAAGGCTTCGAATTCAAAGTAGTATTGTGGGTGATTTACAAAACTGAAGCTCACTGAGTCTCAAACAATCTGAACAAACTTGGGTTTAGATGGCAATATAATGAAATAACCAATTATCACGTTCACTTGCTGGTGCTGAACAGTTGGTTTCTATTTCGCCTGTTCGCGGAGCTTGGCAATTTGTTTGCAAACGTTTCATCACCAGCCGAGGTGACATCATCAGTGCTTGTGAAGTGGCCGCTTCAGTTCACCCGAGCTACGAAAACCGATTTTCAATACTTTGTGAACAGTTGGGTATTACAATGCTTCCCTAGACCGGGACTAGAACGAATCGGAGGTTGGAGCACAAACAACTTAGGATGGAAAAGAATTTCTGTATTACGTACTCAAGGCTGAAACAGCAGCACTTGCAGTTTAGTCGACAATAGTTTAAAGGGATATCTTCCGAGGTGATTATTCCAGGAGGGTGTTTGCAGGTTAACGTAGTATTTGATATATACGTTTCATTGTATTCGGCGGTATCGAGATGAATAGAGTCTGAGGACTTGAGGCCTTTGAATAAAGATCTTGAATGGCAACCCTGTGGCTGTTTTGGTTGCTATTCTCTGTGGACCATCAAGTGCCTTTTGGTCACCACATAGTAAGGAACTTTAAACTTGAAAAGCATACTCGGTGTGTTCTAATGTATGCTGAAAGCAAACGGGGCAACAGATCTGCTTGGAACGATTCAAAAACTTTTTTAGTAATCCAACTTGTGTTAGGGATATTGATGGCGTTCTAACGCAATATATGAGGCATCCTGGATCCTCCTGGACTAACTCTCGGGTCGTTCTCGTCAGGAGCGCGCGGTAATGACTGATTTCAAAGTACATACGGGAAGCGACCCTTGTGACACCACGATACAATCTGACATGTACCAATGCTGAATTGGATGTCGTTATTAAGCGACCAGAGTTTCGTGCAATGCTCCATAATCTTGTGATGTTCTAGATCTTTGGGCGTCGTCAGTGAATAGTAGTGTTTGTGCCCCACGGGTGGATTGTCTATAAATGCTAGGAAAAGGTGGGGACCAAGTACGGGTCATTGTGGAACTCCGCGGCAGCGTCGTTTAATCCCGATGGCGAACCATTAACTCTAACTAATGCCATAATTTGTCAAAGAAATTCCTTAATCCAGTCAAGGAGCAGTCCTTGAACTGTGTAGTTATAGTTGTTCACTTCGTCAAAAAGCTCTGGAGAAGTCCATATAGACTATGTACAATGCCTCTCTTGCGCCAACTGTTCCGGTTCACTCATCTGGTGAAAGTAACAGGTATATTTTGCGTCACTAGTACACTTTAATCTACGCCTATAACTTTGTGTGGGACGGATTGAGAGATGTTGAAAAGTGGAACCCTCACGAGATGAGAACGATACTTGATGGTGAGGGTGGATTGACGATTGATATCTTGAAAAGTATTCCTTATCTGTCCTGTCTTATACTCCAATAGTCTAGTGTGAGGAACGAGTAGAAACGAAACACTTTATTTGGGTACAACCTAGTAGGGCAAATCGATGGGAAAGATTGGCATACACATCACACATCACTAACATACCAGCATGAGAGTCTGGCTCAAAGCAAAAATGAGATCACAAATCGCACTGATCCGTGTCGGGATAAAGAATAGCATAGTGACTAAACAAAATTAGGGGAACAGAAGATGCAGTAAAGTGCGGAGCAGGGGTGGGGTGGGGTGGATAATCAGATAGATTTTCGACACAGGCAGGATCGATCACCAAGAATTTCCAAGCGTGTGCGACTGTGGTCGTGATAACCAGCTCGCACGATAGAGACAGATCGTGTGAAACGATTAGAACAGAGCGCACAATCCATTCCATGTACAGACTGGCTCACCCTGCGTTTATGTGTCTGTTTTGTGAGGTCGGGTACCATGCGGTGTGACCTAACGAGGACCGAAGGTGCAGGGGGCGGATGAGTGGATAACTCCAAAACGAGTCGGTATGTGATCAGAAGAACTGTGGATCAGTACAGCACAGGTTACTTTTACAATTTCTCTCACGAGGAGAGAAGGTATTTCAGGTGATTTAGTTTAGGCTCTCTCTGTGGTCAACCCACTTGAAGTTGGGGTACAGGCGATGGGTCAATAGCCTCAAATGTTGCATATGGCAGTATAAAGTGATACTCTCTGAAATCGTGTCAACTAACGAATTGTAACGGATTTCACATTGACGAAACGACTAGAATGATCGAGATTGCTCACCTATGACGCATGAGAAAGTATGCGAAAAAAATTTAGCAGAAAAGTTTATCACAAAATTACAAACTTGACGTAAACCGTAAACTGTCTTTTGTACAATCTCAATCACACTGGTGGTTTGATTCACTGGATAGGGGATATGGGCAGTATTCGTTCCCAGTCAAGTCATGCAACTGCTTTGTGCTAAGGGGGGTGAAGGTGATAGTGTGATGGTTTAGTTGCTGTCACCGGTGTGCTTTGAGAACCTTGTGGTGTAAGGATGAACCACACCATCACCACCACCACCACACAGCTTAGCTGTCGTCCTATTCAATACCACGCCTAATCCAGAGGGGCATTATGTGGTCTACTACTCCAAGTTCCCGGTTTCTATCATTGAATAGATCTACGCGACTATGGGATCCACCCCGTCTGTTGTTCATTGCACATGTATGTGATAAGAGAATACATCTCGAATTGGGGGCACTAACCGGCAACTCATGATTTGACTGTTCAATGATGTTACAATGTTCGGAAAATTACGGCTCCCTGGAGGGGGAGGAGGTCTTGGAGACCTAGAGGCAGATTGATGAAGACACACAGTCACGTGTGCATGCGTGCATCAACGAACAGGTACTGTTCGAAATGGAAGAAAGGACCTGGATATTCAGAATAAAAGATGAGGGGGACGGAGAGAATAATTACACCAACTAGATCAAATTCCAAATGGGCCCATCAAGAAGACCAATCAAGCGCAGGGAAATTCCAACCCCATCTCTTGCTCCCAAACATAACTATCCTTCATTTTTGTTAGACTTGTGTTTGTCTAATATTGAGTGTGTGCGTCTGTGTGAGATGGTTAACGCGAATGTTTCACGTTACTTCAATCTAAATTGCTTCAACGACTGTGCGAATTGATTTCGATACATCTCACCAGATCTGTTTTGCACTGATACATCAATATTGTTGATAAATTAATGAGATTTCTTCGGGTCCCACAAAGAAATCTGACGTTCCTATTAGGACAAGGACAGGGTGAGAAACAGTTTGTTCTGTTTACACAAATCGATAAACTGCCCAGTGCACACGTACATTGAGTGTGATGTGCATTGCAAACAACAAAAGATCACTTTAGTTGCCGGAAAGTACTGTCATCCAACAATGGAAGCCTGATTTGTGCGAACAGAAAGGACTGTGGACTACCCCCGAGACAGTTCGGGTGGGAGTGTCAAACATGTTAATTGTTTATTCATATGACGCATTATTTTATCCGTCGCATGCATCTGTTGACATGTAGAGAAATCAATCGGAATATAAAGTGTGAAAGTCACTTTGCAATCTGCTCTATTCGAGTTCAATTTACGCAAAAAGTTGCTTCAATGTCTGCGTAGGATCGCTTCGCAAATGCCGAACTGCCGTTGTCGCGATCGAGATACGAGGATCAGTTGATATTTCTTTTTTGTTTGGTATCCGTAAGACCAATGAATTTACGAAGACGAGTGTTAAATACTTCAGAACGTTGTGAGATACACAATGATCCCAGTCCGATACCGAATTCGCCGGAGTCAAAAATGGAGAAGAGAAACGGTGAAGACTGTTTTGTTCGTCTATTTCAACTCCAGACCAATGAAGTTGTACTTTGAGTTTGAAGCGGTTTGCCATTGGTTTCGAAAGCACTTGTTCCCCATGATAAATGATTGAAGCTAAATAAACTGGAGCTTTGCTGAGCAAGTTCATGTAAAGTGAATAGAACAGCAACCACCAAAGTTGTTGAGTATCAATGTGCACGGTCGTCAGCACACCAAAGGGCCGAAATTGCTCATGGACTTACCGATGCCTCCAGACCGATGACGACAGACGAGACGCAGATGAGCA